TTTGCTTTGTTTTTTTTAATATCTTACACAACAATTAGATAATGGTACACGCTTTAAACGATTTCTAACGAAGATCTAAGAAGTGATTCTCTCTATAATATTATTAAGACGGGCTAACAGCTTCAAACTATTTCTAACGAAGATCTAACAAATGATTCTCTCTCAGATATTTTAAAATCACATCTTGCAGTACTAGATTGGTTTGTTGACTTGTGTGAAGGAGAGGCTACCGCCCGCTGAATGAAATGGAATTTTTATAGAAAACAAATACTTTTACAAATGTCTCCCCCACCCCCCCCCCGACCCCCGGAAATATCAAGTGCTCCCCTCGAGAAAAAAGACTGAAAGATACACTGCACTAGCCTTGTGGTATTCTACTCGGCTTCAACACTTCCACTTTCATGAAGGTGTGGGGTAGGTGTGGTTACACACACAGCTAGCTGTATTATTGAAAGTGTGAATTATCTCTGCACAAATCACACACCACTAGCTGTATTATTGAAAGTGTGAATGATTGTTTCACAAATCACACATCACTAGCTGTATTATTGAAAGTGTGAATGGTTTCTTCACAAATCACACATCACTAGCTGTATTATTGAAAGTGTGAATTATCTCTGCACAAATCACACATCACTAGCTAGCTGTATTATTGAATTATTGAAAGTGTGAATGATTGCTTCACAAATCACACATCACTAGCTATATTATTGAAAGTGTGAATGATTGCTTCACAAATCACACATCACTAGCTGTATTATTGAAAGTGTGAATGATTGCTTCACAAATCACACATCACTAGCTGTATTATTGAAAGTGTGAATGATTGCTTCATTTTAAACCATTAACATAACGGACTAGTATGAGTTTAGTAAAAAAAAAAGTCAAGGATAGATATGTTTGTATTTGAATCTGATGCTGTCCCCCCCCCCCCACACGAATAATTATTTATTTATAGATGTCACAAAATAGTTCAACCAATTTGTAAATGTCAAAAGGTCAACTATCAAATAGCACACGCCCAAGCACGCAAACACGAGAAACTTTGTCTAACACTGGGAATTATCCGCTGTTTTATTTAAAGTTCAATTTAATGGATTCAACATCAATTGTCAGTTTATTTTATTTTAAAACAACGATATCATTTGAAAATAAAATTCCTTTATGACGTCATCTGTTTTTTTCCTTCTTTAGATAAACAGAGATAATTTCGCAATTATTTATTTTGTTTCCCAAATATTAAACCACTATATCTGTTATTTGTAGAAATAAAATCTTATTTTAGCTCTTAAACAAGGACCTGTGTTGGCTTGGGATTGACTTGGAACTGATTTTCATTTGAAATGAGCTCTGTGGTAGTTAATTAAATTGACTTTAATTGAGCGATCGTGTTATTCTAAACTTTACAACCCCACCTCGTATAGTGATCTCTCGACGGTTGATCTATCTTTAATATTCGACCATTGCCACATAGATTTATGTCAAACAACTGACATGGCCGGTGATGTCAAACTCGAATCCTGAGAAAATCGTTGGTTCTGTCACCTAATATTTGATTCTGTCACATACAACTAGATTGTATCAGCGACATTTGATTGCGTCACCTTATATAGGCTTTATTAAATTCTGTCACCCTAAATTTTATTCTCTCACTCACTATTTGATACTTTCACTTAAAATTTGTTTTTGTTATGTAAATTGTGGTTCTGTCACAAAATATTCGAGTATTCAAATATTGTATTGTCCTACATAGACGCACCACTGTCCCACAGAAACGCACTACTGTCCTACATAGACGCACTACCTTCTCAAATAGGCGCACCACTGTCCTACATAGACGCACCACTGTCCTACATATACGCACTACCTTCTCAAATAGGCGCACCACTGTCCTACATAGGCGCACCACTGTCCTACTTAGACGCACCAATGTCCTACATAGACGCACTACTGTCCCACATAGACGCACTACTGTCCTACATAGACGCACCACTGCCCTACATAGACGCACCACTGTCCTACATAGACGCACCACTGCCCCACATAGACGCACCACTGTCCTACATAGACGCACCACTGTCCTACATAGACGCACCACTGCCCCACATAGACGCACCACTGTCCTACATAGACGCACCACTGTCCTACATAGACGCACTACTGCCCCACATAGACGCACCACTGTCCTACATAGACGCACCACTGTCCTACATAGACGCACCACTGCCCCACATAGACGCACCACTGTCCTACATAGACGCACCACTGTCCTATATAGACGCACCACTGCCCCACATAGACGAACCACTGTCCTACATAGACGCACTACCGTCCCACATAGACGCACCACTGTCCTACATAGACGCACCACTGTCCTACATAGACGCACCACTGTCCTACATAGACGCACCACTGCCCTACATAGACGCACCACTGCCCTACATAGACGCACCACTGCCCTACATAGACGCACCACTGTCGTACATAGACGCACTACTCCCCCACATAGACGCACCACTGTCCTACTTAGACGCACCACTGTCCCACACATACAAGGGACCCACCGACATAATTTTGTTGACTTACTGATATATTCTTGATCTATTGTTGTTCAAATCCCATTATGCTTTCATCATTTGTTTATATTCCACTCATAGTTCTTGCTTTTTTCTTTGAAATTATTAACGAAGATGAAATCCTTGGATTAGAGATCTAATTGAAAGTATCAATAAAGCTAAGATGAAATCATAGGATTAAAGATCTTATTGAAAGTTTTAATTAACGAAGATGAAATCATAGGATTAAAGATCTAATTGAAAGTTTTAATTAACAAAGATGAAATCATAGGATTAAAGATCTAATTGAAAGTTTTAATTAACGAAGATGAAATCATAGGATTAAAGATCTAATTGAAAGTTTAACTTACTAAGATGAAATCATTGGATAAGGTATGTAATTGAAAGGTTTTAATAAACTAAGATGGAATCCATTGATTACAGATCTAACTTAAAGTTTTAATTAACCAACATCAATTAATCCAAGTATTAGAAGTCAAAGAATCTGCCACAATTGACTGTTTCTCATTTAATCCTTTCATAGATCTACAATCCAAAAGCTTGATCAAACGTTTGAATTTTATTAGGGTTCAATTACACACACACACACACAATATCCGTTGCTTATACTTATAAATTTAATTTTTTTGACTGCCATTTTTACATGTTTCACGCGTTTTGACAGACTTGGATATGTCACCATCACCTGTCAACATTTGGAGGCCACGCCCCTCGTCTTGGTAGTGTGAAAGGAATGGGCTGAAAGCTGGGTGGACTTTTGTTCGGGTGATTTGTCAGGGTGTAGCCTGGGTATGGGGATCAGTAACTGGGTGGGAGCGTGGGTGGGGACGTCACAACCATTGGATGTTTATGGGCTAGAGACGTCCTTCATTTGTGGATGTGTGGGAGTCTGTCATTTGTGGATGTGTGGGAGTCATTTGTGGATGTGTGGGAGTCTGTCATTTGTGGATGTGTGGGTAGAGAAGTCTGTCATTTGTGGATGTGTGGGTAGAGAAGTCTGTCATTTGTGATGTGTGGGTAGAGAAGTCTGTCATTTGTGGATGTGTGGTTAGAGAAGTCTGTCATTTGTGGATGTGTGGGTAGAGAATTCTGTCATTTGTGGATGTGTGAGTAGAGAAGTCTGTCGTTTGTGGATGTGTGGATGTGTGGGTAGAGAAGTCTGTCATTTGTGGATGTGTGGGTAGAGAAGTCTGTCATTTATAGATGCGTTGATAGATAAGTCTGTCATTTGTGGATGTGTGGATGTGTGGGTAGAGAAGTCTGTCATTTGTGGATGTGTGGGTAGAGCAGTCTGTCATTTGTGGATGTGTGGGTAGAGAAGTCTGTCATTTGTGGATGTGTGGGTAGAGAAGTCTGTCATTTGTGGATGTGTGGGTAGAGAAGTCTGTCATTTGTGGATGTGTGGGTAGAGAAGTCTGTCATTTGTGGATGTGTGGGTAGAGAATTCTGTCATTTGTGGATGTGTGAGTAGAGAAGTCTGTCGTTTGTGGATGTGTGGATGTGTGGGTAGAGAAGTCTGTCATTTGTGGATGTGTGGGTAGAGAAGTCTGTCATTTATAGATGCGTTGATAGATAAGTCTGTCATTTGTGGATGTGTGGATGTGTGGGTAGAGAAGTCTGTTATTTGTGGATGTGTGGGTAGAGAAGTCTGTCATTTGTGGATGTGTGGGTAGAGAAGTCTGTCATTTGTGGATGTGTGGGTAGAGAAGTCTGTCATTTGTGGATGTGTGGGTAGAGAAGTCTGTCATGTGTTGATGTGTTGGTAGAGAAGTCTGTCATTTGTGGATGTGTGGGTAGAGAAGTCTGTCATTTGTCGATGTGTGGATGTGTGGGTAGAGAAGTCTGTCATTTGTGGATGTGTGAGTAGAGAAGTCTGTAACTGGGTGATGTGTGGGTAGAGAAGTCTGTCATGTGTGGATGTGTGGGTAGAGAAGTCTGTCATTTGTGGATGTGTGGGTAGAGAAGTCTGTCATTTGTGGATGTGTGGGTAGAGAAGTCTGTCATTTGTGGATGTGTGGGTAGAGAAGTCTGTCATTTGTGGATGTGTGGGTAGAGAAGTCTGTCATTTGTGGATGTGTGGGTAGAGAAGTCTGTCATTTGTGGATGTGTGGGTAGATTAGTCTGTCATTTGTGGATGTGTGGGTAGAGAAGTCTGTCATTTGTGGATGTGTGGGTAGAGAAGTCTGTCATTTATGGATGTGTGGATGTGTGGGTAGAGAAGTCTGTGACTGGGTGGATGTGTGGGTAGAGAAGTCTGTCATTTGTGGATGTGTGGGTAGAGAAGTCTGTCATTTGTCGACGTCCAACATTTTTGGCGAGTTTTTGTTTTTGTATTAGACCATTTAAAAATAAATTCGAGTAGCTTTATTAGTCGCAGCCTCGTAATGTGATGTGTTCTATAGCAACCATCTATCCGCCAGTAAACTAAGGGCGTTGGACTTGCTGTACCCTTTTCTTGTACAACTGTATTCGCTTGTCTTGACGACCTACGACCATTAACCACAGCGCCAAACAACAAACATAAGACTCAACATAAGACTCAACATAAGACTCAACATAAGACTCAACATAAGACTCAACATAAGACTCAACATAAGACTCAACATAAGACTCAACATAAGACTCAACATAAGACTCAACATAAGACTCAACATAAGACTCAACATAAGACTCAACATAAGACTCAACATAAGACTCAACATAAGACTCAACATAAGACTCAACATAAGACTCAACATAAGACTCAACATAAGACTCAACATAAGACTCAACATAAGACTCAACATAAGACTCAACATAAGACTCAACATAAGACTCAACATAAGACTCAACATAAGACTCAACATAAGACTCAACATAAGACTCAACATAAGACTCAACATAAGACTCAACATAAGACTCAACATAAGACTCAACATAAGACTCAACATAAGACTCAACATAAGACTCAACGGAAATATGAAAATAACGTTTTTAATAACTAAATTGCATTTTGGTTTCTGGGTGGCCAATTTTTTGGTCCTTAATAAATAGACTTGACGGCCCATCTTGAGCCGGACTTGCCGGCCCATCTTGAGCCAGACTAGTCGGCCCATCTAGCGATAGCACGTGATGACGCTGAAGATGCACATATTGTAGAGGTTACGTTTTTTACTGGACAGAACCTCCTTCTCTAGCTCCAGCTGCCTGATCTTCTTGGAGATGTTGCCCAGTACAGCTCGCAGGGTCATCAGCTGGGTTTCGATTTCATTGTTTATTTCCGCTGCGGTCAGTTTGGTGACGTCATCCTTCATTACCTGTTAATGAAAACAGTTGTGGGTTTGAAAATAATCGTTGTGTCAGTATAATTTTTATGTAAATATAATCGTTGTGTCAGCAAAATCATTGTGTCTACATAATCGTTGTGTTAGTATAATCATTATGTAAATATAATTGTCTCAATACATTTATGTCAATAATCATTGTCTCAATATAGTCATGTCAATAATTATCGTCTCAATATATTTATGTCAATAATCATCCTATAATGAACGGTTAGGTCGGATGATGGAGTTCACAACTGCTAATCTGAAAGTCACGAGTTCGAATCCCGAGCTCGAATCTGTAGGACGTCCATGAGAACACCCAGCCGTAATGGGTACCTGACCTGGCTGGTCTAGTGCTGACTGCATTATTCACATGTATGTCGTGCTGGTCATTGAAATAGATGAACTCTACTTCATCTGCTACGTGTGTCTTGAGTACGAGCGTGAATATGTGGGGATAAATCATCGGATGAAATAACAATTAGGTTTTGTCATTAACTTAATTCTCACGGCTCAATTATTTTGTCTTTCCATTCCACATTCCCTTACCATCATTCCATACCCGCCTAAGAAGCGACCCCACCCCCCGTCCACATCAGACAACCCTACCCCAAACGTTATTCTCGTCGTCCTCTTGTTATCAACTGTATAGAGACTATAGATGATGGGGCCAATGTGTTCGTGACGGCATTGTTACGATGTCTCGTGTTTATTTTAGTTACGATTGTATTCAATATTTCAATCAAGCTAATTAGCTCAGACCATCTTTGGTTACCATTGTTTTTTTAACTAGATTTAATTTACTGTTCACCATTATCCCAACTTCACTAAGTAGATTTCGTTTCTTCTCCAATCAATATTTTAACTACTATTAAACATAAAAAGCTTAGCGTTAATGTTTAAGGGCTTTTTTGTGTTTAATGTTTACCAAGAAAGAAAAAAAACTGTAGACAGAGATTTTTTGGGATAACTTTTGTTCCTAAATTTAAAAAATTGCATAAAAAACGTTTTAATAACAAGCTTTTATGTAATAATGCACTAAATATGAGAAAATGAATGATTTTCTTTAGATATGTAATAATACACTACTATTTAAATAACTATAAAGAAAAGTGTGGGTCACAGTATTTTCTATTGCAGGGGTTCCCAATCCTGTGCCTTGGCGCCCGCTGAACGATACGTATGTGCCCGCCTCTCACTAATCGACAGAGGCAGAATTTTTTTCATAAACATTATTTTAAAATATTATTTATTTTTATTTATTTGTTACAGTTTTTTTTTTTTGACTGCCTAGGTTTATTGAATATGTTCGATACTTGTCCCAATTTGCCTAGCGGCGAGCCAGACTGCACTATTTACGTTTTGTAAATACATTTCTCTGTGTGTATGCAATTTGAAAAACAATGCCAAATAATTGTATTATTTTGAAACATTTTTGTTTATTATTTATTAATACATTATGACTATAAGAAAATAAGAAAATAAATTATGGGAAAATGACAAGTTATGGAAGGAATTTGTCGATTTAAAATACGTGGTGCCCGACACCCTACCGATATTATAGAATGTGCTCTAGAGTAACAATAGGTTGGGAACCCCTGGTCTATTGGATACCTTTACTAATATTCAATCTCCACTTCACATGTAACTATGAGTTCAATCTCCACTTTATATATTAGCGTCAGTCCAATCTCCACTTTATATCTACATTCTCTACATTATATGTAGCTGTTAGTCCTACCTATTTATACCAGGTCCAAGTTTTTAATAAATCGACACATTATTGTCTATAAAGGCTTGGTTAACTAGTTGATACATCGACTCTATACCAGCCAAATAAAGAAGGTTTTGGCCGAAGAGTTAATGGCCAGTTACCAGTAAAAGCATCAACAACCCACCCACCCCCACTCTCTCCCCACATGTTTTGGCGATGGTTTCTACCGGATTACTCCTTTACCACAAAGAAAAGAGATGTTGCACACATATAAATGAGTTTTAACAGTGCTTACAGTGACGTGCTCCTAGTATTCTTAAAACGTGTATGTTCTGTAATGGGGCAGATCAGACATTTGTACATGATTGCTGTTGATTTGTTCTACGCCTATTGTACCACAGCAGATCAAAGACTGATACACGTTTCATGTAGATATTTTCTATACCCGGCGTATCACAGAGAAATAAATACAGTTGAGCCTGAAGTGGTCGTCTCTTTTGTCCAGTATAATACAAGTCGGATGTTTGTAGGAGTTTTTACACAACAAAAAACATATGACAAGGATTTCTATTTATAAACGTGTAATAATTATCATTAGTTATAAATTCAATTCAGTTTTGTCAATACCAATGTAATATTAGCGACCAGTTTCAAGTATTTTTAAGACACTTTTCCCAAACAAATCAAATATCCGTAAGGAAATGTATGTTTTTACATCAACCATTTTTCGTCGCAACATCCCATCTAAAACTATTGCCACAACCATTTTTTGTCGCAATATCTCATCTAAAACTGTTGCCACAACCATTTTTTGTCGCAACATCCCATCTAAAACTAATGCCACAATTATTTTTCGTCGCAACATCCCACCTAAAACTATTGCCACAATTATTTTTCGTCGCAACATCCCACCTAAAACTATTGCCACAATTATTTTTCGTCGCAACATCCCACCTAAAACTATTGCCACAATTATTTTTCGTCGCAACATCCCATCTAAAACTAATGCCACAACCATTTTTCGTCGCAACATCCCATCTAAAACTATTGCCACAACCATTTTTTGTCGCAATATCTCATCTAAAACTGTTGCCACAACCATTTTTTGTCGCAACATCCCATCTAAAACTAATGCCACAATTATTTTTCGTCGCAACATCCCACCTAAAACTATTGCCACAATTTTTTTTCGTCGCAACATCCCACCTAAAACTATTGCCACAATTATTTTTCGTCGCAACATCCCACCTAAAACTATTGCCACAATTATTTTTCGTCGCAACATCCCATCTAAAACTAATGCCACAATTATTTTTCGTCGCAACATCCCACCTAAAACTATTGCCACAATTATTTTTCGTCGCAACATCCCATCTAAAACTAATGCCACAACCATTTTTTCATCGCAATATCCCACCTAAAACTAATGCCACAACCATTTTTTCATCGCAATATCCCATCTAAAACTAATGCCACAACCATTTTTTCATCGCAATATCCCACCTAAAACTAATGCCACAACCATTTTTTCATCGCAATATCCCACCTAAAACTAATGCCACAACCATTTTTCATCGCAACATCCCATCTAAAACTAATTTAGGACCAAAAGGGTTGGACATTTGAATGTTCGGTCAGACATAATATCACGTAATTTGTCCTGGGTAATATGTTTTTAACATGTAATCTGACGACGCAAATCTGTTTATAACCTGATGAAATGCGAGTTTGCTCTGGGTAGTTTAAATATTCTATAATGTATAACCTATCATGAGTAATATATGCAGCCTATAACGTAATTAATATTTATTATTTATCCAAGCTTTTGCATAATGAGTTGCTGTTTCAACTCAGAATTAAATGCACAATGCTTTACTTTTTTAAAAAGAAATTAAAAATATCAAAGACAGTTATCTGTAAAACTGTCTTTCATTCTATTAACTGTGCAACATAGATTTGTCTACAGAACACAGATCACAGGTTTGACCTGAACTAATATCTGACCTTTTGTGTGGAGATGTCCGAGTCTGCCAATGTCCTCACTGCCAGCGTGCAGACTATCAAAACCGCCAAGAATTTTCCTTGCTTTTGGTATTTCGTTGGTATCGAGAAAGTCATCTTTAAACTATCTTCTAAACTGTTTCTTTGGTAAATATAAAGGAAATCTGAAAGACAATTAGGTGAATTAATTTCTATTAGTTTATAAAGCACGTGATCCCGTCATAAATACCACTCTGTCTCCATTAGTCAATTAGCAAATGTCACCGTCCAATTACTCTGGTCTACTGACGTCTTCAGATTCAGCGGCGGTCCTCAAACAATGGTGTCTCGCGTCACGCTATTAATAGACCTTTAAATGTCGGTCATCGCTTCCATTAATGTAGGTACAGCTGGTTTAAATCTCCATGTTTTATCCATGTAATCTAAGATAGTATTAAAGCTCCAAACACCGAATAGATCAAACAATAACCTATCATTATAGAAAATCTATTTTTAAAACAAATCAATATTTTTAAGAAGGTAAGTAATATAACTACTTTTTGAACACTTTTACTTTCTCGAATACGAAGTATACAGAAAGTATTGTAATCGTGCAAAAAAAAAAGATAATTTTGCAAATCTTGACGTTTTACACCTCCCTGAGTAGGAAAAACATAGTTTTGCAATCTTGTCCGTATGTCTGTGTGTGTGTGTGTGTGTGTATGTGTGTCTGTGAACACGATAACTTGAGTACCGTTACAGCTGGGTTGATGAAATTTCACATATAAGTATTATATCAAATGTGTAGTTTTGTATCAACTTTTTAGTGATTTCCGGTAACCGGAATTGGAACTTAATCTACTTTCAATTTTTCAAAAGTCAAAGTCTATAACTTGAGTACTGTTTCAGAAAGATTAATGAAATTTCACAAATATGTAAAAGATCAATTCTCTGCCTTCTATAAAATTTTGAGTAATTTCTGTTGACCGGAAGTAGTAATTTACGCTTTTTCAGATTTCTAAAAAAAAACGCATTTGAATTTATAAAGTACTAATAATATTCCGCACTATTATACACATATTCTTTGCCGTTTACTTAGTGTGCAATTCTTTTCCACGAGATTCTATTCTATTTTAAAAAGTTAAATTAATTAAAAATGTATTAAAAATCATGTCTATATCCCGAGTTTCCATCCCACGTAGTGCTATATAAGAATATTCGAGAAAGTTTAGGGGAGATCACTCCCGGTTTATTTAAAAGGCACTCAAAAAACACCTTAAACCCCTCTTGTCCTCCATAAACCCCCATTGCCAGTAAGTTGTGAACCGCTGCTTACAGAAATAAATGACGTAGTCCGCGCTACTGTGGGCTTTCATCTCATTTGACCAATGCAACCACCTGACTTATACACCCACACATACAGTACCAACGCTTAATGACATTCTTCAATTTCAGAAACATTTTCAAAAAAGCAATACTAAAAAAAAAAGTCAAGAAAATCTTCGAGTAAGTTAATGAAAGTAGCTGAACAGGTCAAATATTGATCACAGGACTTTGGCATCAACTTGTCACAATACAATGGTCAAGTCAGGACCCATCAGACATCTGGTCAGTGACAGCTAGGGTCACCATCTGGTCAGTGACAGCTAGAGTCACCAAATAACACCATCTGGTCAGTGACAGCTAGGGTCACCATTTGGTCAGTGACAGCTAGGGTCACCATTTGGTCAGTGACAGCTAGAGTCACCATCTGGTCAGTGACAGCTAGAGTCACCAAATAACACCATCAGGTCAGTGACAGCTAGGGTCACCATTTGGTTAGTGACAGCTAGGGTCACCATTTGGTCAGTGACAGCTAGGGTCACCATTTGGTCAGTGACAGCTAGGGTCACCATTTGGTCAAAGACAGCTAGGGTCACCAAATAACACCATCAGGTCAGTGACAGCTAGGGTCACCATTTGGTCAGTGACAGCTAGGGTCACCATTTGGTCAGTGACAGCTAGAGTCACCATCTGGTCAGTGACAGCTAGAGTCACCAAATAACACCATCAGGTCAGTGACAGCTAGGGTCACCATCTGGTCAGTGACAGCTAGGGTCACCATCTGGTCAGTGACAGCTAGGGTCACCATCTGATCAGTGACAGCTAGGGTCACCATCTGGTCAGTGACAGCTAGGGTCACCATCTGGTCAGTGACAGCTAGGGTCACCATCTGGTCAGTGACTGCTAGGGTCACCAAATAACACCATCTGGTCAGTGACAGCTAGAGTCACCATCTGGTCAGTGACAGCTAGGGTCACCATCTGGTCAGTGACAGCTAGGGTCACCATCTGGTCAGTGACAGCTAGGGTCACCATCTGGTCAGTGACAGCTAGGGTAACCAAATAACACCATCTGGTCAGTGACAGCTAGGGTCACCATCTGGTCAGTGACAGCTAGGGTCACCATCTGGTCAGTGACAGCTAGGGTCACCATTTGGTCAGTGACAGCTAGGGTCACCATCTGGTCAGTGACAGCTAGGGTCACCATCTGGTCAGTGACAGCTAGGGTCACCAAATAACACCATCTGGTCAGTGACAGCTAGGGTCACCATCTGGTCAGTGACAGCTAGGGTCACCATCTGGTCAGTGACAGCTAGGGTCACCATCTGGTCAGTGACAGCTAGGGTCACCATCTGGTCAGTGACAGCTAGGGTCACCATCTGGTCAGTGACAGCTAGGGTCACCATCTGGTCAGTGACAGCTAGGGTCACCATCTGGTCAGTGACAGCTAGGGTCACCATCTGGTCAGTGACAGCTAGGGTCACCATTTGGTCAGTGACAACTAGGGTCACCATCTGGTCAGTGACAGCTAGGGTCACCATCTGGTCAGTGACAGCTAGGGTCACCAAATAACACCATCTGGTCCGTGACAGCTAGGGTCACCATCTGGTCAGTGACAGCTAGGGTCACCATCTGGTCAGTGACAGCTAGGGTCACCATCTGGTCAGTGACAGCTAGGGTCACCATTTGGTCAGTGACAGCTAGGGTCACCATCTGGTCAGTGACAGCTAGGGTCACCATCTGGTCAGTGACAGCTAGGGTCACCAAATAACACCATCTGGTCAGTGACAGCTAGGGTCACCATCTGGTCAATGACAGCTAGGGTCACCATCTGGTCAGTGACAGCTAGGGTCACCATCTGGTCAGTGACAGCTAGGGTCACCATCTGGTCAGTGACAGCTAGGGTCACCATCTGGTCAGTGACAGCTAGGGTCACCATCTGGTCAGTGACAGCTAGGGTCACCATCTGGTCAGTGACAGCTAGGGTCACCATCTGGTCAGTGACAGCTAGGGTCACCATCTGGTCAGTGACAGCTAGGGTCACCATTTGGTCAGTGACAACTAGGGTCACCATCTGGTCAGTGACAGCTAGGGTCACCATCTGGTCAGTGACAGCTAGGGTCACCAAATAACACCATCTGGTCCGTGACAGCTAGGGTCACCATCTGGTCAGTGACAGCTAGGGTCACCATCTGGTCAGTGACAGCTAGGGTCACCATCTGGTCAGTGACAGCTAGGGTCACCATTTGGTCAGTGACAGCTAGGGTCACCATCTGGTCAGTGACAGCTAGGGTCACCATCTGGTCAGTGACAGCTAGGGTCACCAAATAACACCATCTGGTCAGTGACAGCTAGGGTCACCATCTGGTCAATGACAGCTAGGGTCACCATCTGGTCAGTGACAGCTAGGGTCACCATCTGGTCAGTGACAGCTAGGGTCACCATCTGGTCAGTGACAGCTAGGGTCACCATCTGGTCAGTGACAGCTAGGGTCACCATTTGGTCAGTGACAGCTAGGGTCACCATCTGGTCAGTGACAGCTAGGGTCACCATCTGGTCAGTGACAGCTAGGGTCACCAAATAACACCATCTGGTCAGTGACAGCTAGGGTCACCATCTGGTCAGTGACAGCTAGGGTCACCATCTGGTCAGTGACAGCTAGGGTCACCATCTGGTCAGTGACAGCTAGGGTCACCATTTGGTCAGTGACAGCTAGGGTCACCATCTGGTCAGTGACAGCTAGGGTCACCATCTGGTCAGTGACAGCTGGGTCACCATCTGGTCAGTGACAGCTAGGGTCACCAAATAACACCATCTGGTCAGTGACAGCTAGGGTCACCATCTGGTCAATGACAGCTAGGGTCACCATCTGGTCAGTGACAGCTAGGGTCACCATCTGGTCAGTGACAGCTAGGGTCACCATCTGGTCAGTGACAGCTAGGGTCACCATCTGGTCAGTGACAGCTAGGGTCACCAAATAACACCATCTGGTCAGTGACAGCTAGGTTCACCATCTGGTCAGTGACAGCTAGGGTCACCATTTGGTCAGTGACAGCTAGGGTCACCATCTGGTCAGTGACAGCTAGGGTCACCATTTGGTTAGTGACAGCTAGGGTCACCATCTGGTCAGTGACAGCTAGGGTCACCATTTGGTCAGTGACAGCTAGGGTCACCATTTGGTCAGTGACAGCTAGGGTCACCAAATAACACCATCAGGTCAGTGACAGCTAGGGTCACCATAGTGACAGCTAGGGTCACCATCTGGTCAGTGACAGCTAGGGTCACCAAATAACACCATCAGGTCAGTGACAGCTAGGGTCACCATCTGGTCAGTGACAGCTAGGGTCACCATCAGGTCAGTGCCAGCTAGAGTCACCATCAGGTCAGTGCCAGCTAGAGTCACCATAGTGACAGCTAGGCTGTGGACCCACCAGATCAACCAGTTATCACAGAACGTCACCATCCAGCAGTTTGGAGGCAACAGTTGAGTTTGCCACCAAACGAAACACCAGAGAACCAAAAGTTTGCTCGAGTGTGTTTGGCAAGCAATACAACATTCAGTGCTGGATGACACCCGTGTGACGTCAACAGAAAAATTATCGACATTTTGTCGAGACATCTGTAACTTCATGAATTATTTTAGCAAGTACTGATAGATCAGACAAGATAAAGGAAAAATGGAAAAAGTACAAAAGCTCTAGCCTACTTTATTTTAAAGTTTATGTTTTTATAACTAGAGAGTTGAGGATTCGCTCCACTGAAGGTTCTGGCGGTAATTTTGTGAGCGGCCGGAACTTTTCGGGCCGCATCCCTTAAATCTATTTAAATTTCGGTAGCAGAATAATTTTATATTATTTTATAAGAGTATAGCACAGCTTGACCAACTCATGACCCAGACAGGAAAACAATTTGGTGGACCGTAAACAGCTGCAGATCATTTGTGAAAAATCCCCAAATCCACTGAAGGTTTTTATTTCGAGCAGTCTACACGTTTGCTTAACGGAATAAAGTCCATGTTTTGTAAATAAGTATTCGGGTTTAAAATGTCTTACCTTGACTGAGTTAGTAAAGAAATGTTAACTGTAGTGGGACCTTACCTGGCACGAGGTTCGCTCTGTGGACCATCTAACGACTGGGATATTTATATGGATGCTTCCATTGATCGTCTCATTCTGACGTCATCACTTAATGAACAACTGGAACTTTTTTTTCTCACGTCGTCATCACCCACGTGACAACACAAGCATGGAGGTGGTTCCCACACATGGCAGATATTGGTCACCACACATGGCAGATATTGGTCACCACACATGGCAGATATTAGTTCCCACACATGGCAGATAATAGTTCCCACACATGGCAGATATTGGTCACCACACATGGCAGATATTGGTCACCACACATGGCAGATATTAGTTCCCACACATGGCAGATATTAGTTCCCACACATGACAGATATTAGTCACCACACATGGCAGATATTGGTCACCACACATGGCAGATATTAGTCACCTCACACGGCAGATATTGGTTCCCACACATGGCAGATATTGGTTCCCACACATGGCAGATATTAGTCACCACACATGGCAGATATTAGTCACCACACATGGCAGATATTAGTCACCACACATGGCACACATGGCAGATATTAGTCACCACACATGGCAGATATTAGTCACCACACATGGCAGATATTAACCCCCACACATGGCAGATATTAGTCACCACACATGGCAGATATTAGTCACCACACATGGCACACATGGCAGATATTAGTCACCACACATGGCAGATATTAGTCACCACACAAGGCAGATATTAGTCACCACACATGGCAGATATTAGTTACCACACATGGCAGATATTAGTCACCACACATGGCAGATATTAGTTCCCACACATGGCAGATATTAGTTCCCACACATGGCAGATATTAGTCACCACACATGGCAGATATTAGTTACCACACATGGCAGATATTAGTTCCCACACATGGCAGATATTAGTTCCCACACATGGCAGATATTAGTTCCCACACATGGCAGATATATGTTCCCACACATGGCAGATATTAGTCACCACACATGGCAGATATTAGTCACCTCACATGGCACACATGGCAGATATTAGTTCCCACACATGACAGATATTAGTCACCACACATGGCAGATATTAGTCACCACACATGACAGATATTAACCCCCACACATGACAGATATTAGTCACCACACATGGCAGATATTAGTTCCCACACATGGCAGATATTAACCCCCACACATGACAGATATTAGTCACCACACATGGCAGATATTAGTCACCACACATGGCAGATATTAGTTCCCACACATGGCAGATATTAGTTCCCACACATGACAGATATTAGTCACCACACATGACAGATATTAACCCCCACACATGACAGATATTAGTCACCACACATGGCAGATATTAGTTCCCACACATGGCAGATATTAACCCCCACACATGACAGATATTAGTCACCACACATGGCAGATATTAGTCACCACACATGGCAGATAATAGTTCCCACACATGGCAGATATTAGTTCCCACACATGGCAGATATTAGTCACCACACATGGCAGATATTAACCCCCACACATGACAGATATTAGCCACCACACATGGCAGATATTAGTTCCCACACATGGCAGATATTAGTTCCCACACATGGCAGATATTAGTTCCCACACATGGCAGATATTAACCCACACACATGACAGATATTAGTCACCACACATGGCAGATATTAGTCACCACACATGGCAGATATTAGCCACCACACATGGCAGATATTAGTCACCACACATGGCAGATATTAGTCACCACACATGGCAGATATTAGTCACCACACATGGCAGATATTAGTCATCACACATGACAGATATTAACCCCCACACATGACAGATATTAGTCACCACACATGGCAGATATTAGTCACCACACATGGCAGATATTAGTCACCACACATGGCAGATATTAGTCACCACACATGGCAGATATTAGTCACCACACATGGCAGATATTAGTCACCACACATGGCAGATATTAACCCCAACACATGGCAGATATTAGTCACCACACATGGCAGATATTAACCCTTTCAGATGACAGACATTAACCCCCACACATGGCAACTATTTTAACCCCCACACACGGCAACTATTTTAACCCCCACACACGGCAACTATTTTAACCCCACAGGTGGCAACTATTTTAACCCCCACATATGGCAACTATTTTAACCCCCACACACGGCAACTATTTTAACCCCACAGGTGGCAACTATTTTAACCCCCACACACGGCAACTATTTTAACTTCCACACACGGCAACTATTTTAACCCCACAGGTGGCAACTATTTTAACCCCACAGGTGGCAACTATTTTAACCCCACAGGTGGCAACTATTTTAACCCCACAGATGGCAACTATTTTAACCCCACAGGTGGCAACTATTTTAACCCCACAGGTGGCAACTATTTTAACCCCCCCCCCCCCCCACACACACACACGGCAACTATATTTAACCGCCACAGATGGCAACTATTTTAACTCCCACACACGGCAACTATTTTAACCCCCACACACGGCAACTATTTTAACCCCTACAGATGGCAACTATTTTAACTCCCACACACGGCAACTATTTTAACCCCCACACACGGCAACTATTTTAACCCCCACACACGGCAACTATTTTAACCCCCACACACGGAAACTATTTTAACCCCCACACACGGCAACTATTTTAACTCCCACACACGGCAACTATTTTAACCCCCACACACGGCAACTATTTTAACCCCCACACATGGCAACTATTTTAACCCCTACAGATGGCAACTATTTTAACTCCTACAGATGGCAACTATTTTAACTCCCACACACGGCAACTATTTTAACCTCACAGATGGCAACTATTTTAACCCCCCCCCCCCAACACACACACACGGCAACTATATTTAACCGCCATAGATGGCAACTATTTTAACTCCCACACATGGCAACTATTTTAACCCCCACACACGGCAACTATTTTAACCCCCACACATGGCAGCTATTTTAACCTCACAGGTGGCAACTATTTTAACCTCACAGATGGCAACTATTTTAACCTCACAGATGGCAGCTATTTTAACCTCACAGATGGCAACTATTTTAACCTCACAGATGGCAACTATTTTAACCCCCACAGGTGGCAACTATTTTAACCCCCACACACGGCAGCTATTTTAACCTCACAGATGGCAGCTATTTTAACCTCACAGATGGCAACTATTTTAACCTCACAGATGGCAACTATTTTAACCTCACAGATGGCAACTATTTTAACCCCCACATATGGCAGCTATTTTAACCTCACAGATGGCAACTATTTTAACCCCCACATATGGCAGCTATTTTAACCTCACAGATGGCAGCTATTTTAACCTCACAGATGGCAGCTATTTTAACCTCACAGATGGCAACTATTTTAACCCCCACATATGGCAGCTATTTTAACCTCACAGATGGCAGCTATTTTAACCTCACAGATGGCAGCTATTTTAACCTCACAGATGGCAACTATTTTAACCCCCACATATGGCAGCTATTTTAACCTCACAGATGGCAACTATGTTAACCTCACAGATGGCAACTATTTTAACCCCCACATATGGCAGCTATTTTAACCCCCACACACGGCAGCTATTTTAACCTCACAGATGGCAGCTATTTTAACACCCCACACATGGCAGTCCATGGGCCCGTGGCATCAAGGGAGAGGCCGCCATGTTTCAGAGCATCCCAGGCTTCAATTTGGATCTTTAATTTATGGTCGACATGTTTAAAAATGGTGTCGTCCTAGTGACATGTACGTTTCATTTGTTAACTGGGGGAGTTAGTTCAAACTAGTGGTTTAAATTGGACGTTCTCAAGCAGATCGCCACATTTACATTATAACGGGGTATTTTTTAAGGAATTTTCCAAATTTCTTTTTATAGATTTAGATGTTGTGTATGTTTACAGATTTATGATAAGCAGAAATGTATTATTATAAAGTCAAATTTGAACGTAATTATTTATTATATTTCTTCGAGGGTGTTTCCGAAATAGTGCGTGCTGAATCGTGTCTCTTGGAGTATGCAATGAGAAATGTACTGGGTGACTTGTTCAGATCGTAGGATTTATCACAGTTATCGTGTTTATAGCGTCTGTCACAATTTTCGCTTGTATATGATCTGTCACATCGCGTTTATAGAATCTGTCACGTTTATCCTGTTTATAGGATATGTCAGATTTTACGTGTTTATAAAGACTGTCACAATTATTGTCTTTTTAAGGTCAATCACATTTATCGTGTTTATAGGGCCTGTTACAATTATTGTGTTTATAGGACCTGTTACAATTATCGTGTTCATAATATTTGCCACAATTATCGTGTTTATAGTGTCTGTAACAACTATCGTGTATATAAGGCATGCCACAATTATCGTGTTTATAGTGCCACAATTATCGTGTATATAAGGCATGTCACAAATTTCGTGTTTATAATACCTGTCACAATTATCGTGAGTATAGGTTTTCCCACAACCTTATGTGGGCTATTAACACTCACATTGCAGCGCCAAGTGACAACCCTGCTCGGGAACTTCAGCATCTAATGTGCGTGCTCCCGAAAGACATGCTCAAACAGGAAATTTTTAAAATACAGATTTGAAAGTGGGTTTTGTTGTTTTAATTGATGTATTCATTAACATGGCTTAATTTAAAGAAACGATCATTTATTGCTCATTAATTTAAAACAACATTCACTGCTGTCTATCGTTGACATGCTAGAAATAATGTTTGACATGAAATTGCATAAAATCACGATTTAATATAATTGTGTGACTGTAATGTGTCATGTGACTTTATTGTGACATCACTCGGCAGCTCGCACGGAAGCGTGCTGGTGGGGGGTTATTTATAGCAACAAATAACGCGTGGTGCTGGGGAACTGGAATCAACGTTTTCATCTTCTCAAAGATGTGGACGTTTTAGTTTTTCAGACCCAACTTTAGATTTTATAGGGGGGCGGGGAGGTTCATTTAAATTTTATGCGGCTAGCGGATGCGGGCTTGGGACACACTTCAGATTCCACACCCCCCCCCCTCCTCCCCTACCACTCAATTTTCAAACATCATTTTTCAAACGGCTATTTCTTTCTAAACTATTTATATTGAACAGTCTCCATTATGATTCCAGATAGGTATATAAGAATTTAAAATGGGTGTATGCCACCTCACCTCCCCTCCCCTTTTCACACATCGCCGACAAAGTGTGAACCCTTCCGTCCCACTCTGGATTTGACGTCATTTATGGACGTCTCCTGGGGTTAGGAACATGGCGTTTGTGCTTTATTTTAATCCGCAAATTGAATATACTGAGCTTTTCAGACTAAGAAAACCTTTTTAAAAATTAATAAGACTTGTATGTAATATTATTGTTTTGAACCGTGCGTCATTAAAAAAAAAACTGTTTCCTTTATTAAATGCCTGGAAGTCACATCTGTATGTTATTCAATGAGGGGAGAGAACGCTAGAAACTTTTAACTAAAGTTGAGTTATTGGCCTTGTATCGAATCATTGAGTGTTGGGCTCTCGGTGAGGTGGGCGATTGGCTGAGCCAAGAGCTGATTTCCAGGGGCTGGAGGAATGTTAATTGATTCTACAGTTTGGCTCCACCGTCAACAGCAGGGGATGGGCTGGGGGGGGGGGGGGGGGGCATCGAGAACTGGGCGTGCTTGATAACGCCACAAGGTTTGAAGGAGCAATCGGTGGGGGTCAAAGGTCGGAGGAGTAGAAAGCAATGTTGGTGTTGACATAGACCGCTTGTCAATGTGGCTGACACAGAGCCGGCGTTAGGAATACGCGGGGCCTAGGGCCAACCATCTGCGCGGGGCCTTTCCATTATATATATATATATATATATATATATATATATATATATATATATATATATATATATATATATATATATATATATATATATATATGTGTGTGTGTGTGTGTGTGTGTATATATATGTATATTTTATATATATATATATATATATATATATATATATATATATATATATATATATATATATATATATATATATATTATATGTATAAAGGCCTATATAATGTGATGTACACATAATAAAACAAATGTTTTGGAGTTTATATTTATAAGCTAATGTCAAACTTTCCACTATAATAACAGATTTTTATCTCTCCCATGTATTAACCCAATGTTCGTAGTTTTTTTTTTCCTTTGCTAAGATATTAAATCACTTTTGACAGTTATGTAATTCATACCAAATCACTTAAGAAAATTTAATCACGTGCCGAATAATTAGGAAAATAAAGTTTACAATACAGCGAACTCGGCCTGATGTATCAAAACAGAATAGACTTCAAATTTGTTTAGAATTCATACAATATTTTAAAACCAAAAACATTATTGTCTTAATTATTGAACGGGTGAATCCTTAAGGTGACACAACATAACAACAGTTTTAACTTTCTTCCAAAAAATAATAATAAATCACTCTGTTAAATGCCGCCTGATATAGATCCTAAGGCGTCCCCCCCCCCTCGTCGTCCTCCTCCCACCCATCTGCACGGAACTGAATGTTAACTTTGTTATACCAAGACAAGTAGGCCTACATATATAGTTTCTTCCAGGCATTTTTTCGGGGGGGGGGGGCCAAGAAAATCTACCGCCCCTCCCCCCCCCCCCCCCCCGAAAATTGCAAGTGCCCCTCTCCCCTGGAGAAAAAAGTCTGGAAGAAACACTGTACATTTACGACATTATACGACATCTACAACAAGAAAGTCAGGACTAGAGTTCATCAGGTCACCACTAACTGTCTACTACAGACATCCCGTCTGCTCACTAAAAGGACGTCTTCATGGGTCCGCATACAATAGGGTATCTCTTTACGTCGTGGGCTAATTCTCGACCGCCATCTCCAGTCAGCTCAGGTCAAATGCCAGGCGAACGTACCCTACACAAAGGGTAGGTGTGACACTATTTTTGTATCGAATTACGGCCTGTCCCAGTTCAGGTGGGACTCACCAACATCAACTGTGGCCTCAGTTATAACAATCAACAACGTCGGCATTCGACCATTTAGTTTTTCCCAATTGAATTCAGCAACAATTTTTTTAAGTTTACAAACTAATTCAGATAACAATGACATTGCTGAAGCGCGGGGCCCCTTCAAGCGCGGGGCCTATGGCGACCGCCCCGTTCGCCACCCCCTAACGCCGGCTCTGGGCTGACAGTTCATATTGCCAAATAATTACACATAGAATATTTTCAGGATCGGACATGTTGGTAGACTGATGGCGCTCCCATTGACCCAAGACTAAAAGACGCAATGGGTAAAAGGTCAAAGGTTAAAGAGTAAAAAGTGCCAAGAGTTAAGAGCCGCCAAGTAGCAAGATAAGAGCCACCAAGTAACAAGATTAGAGCCACAAAGTAGCAAGATTAGAGCCACCCACCAAGTAGCAAGATTAGAGCCACCCACCAAGTAGCAAGATTAGGGCCACCAAGTAGTAAGATTAGAGCCACCCACCAAGTAGCAAGATTAGAGCCACCCACCAAGTAGCAAGATTAGAGCCACCAAGTAGCAAGATTAGAGCCACCCACCAAGTAGCAAGATTAGAGCCACCCACCAAGTAGCAAGATTAGAGCCACCAAGTAGTAAGATTAGAGCCACCAAGTCACAAGATTAGAGCCACCAAGTAGCAAAATTAGAGCCACCAAGTAGCAAGATTAGAGCCACCAAGTCACAAGATTAGAGCCACCAAGTAGCAAGATTAGAGCCACCAAATAACAAGATTAGAGCCACCCACCAAGTAGCAAGATTAGAGCCACCAAGTAGCAAGGTTAGAGCCACCAAGGTTAAAGATCTACAAGTCAAGAGCTGAGGATTTTGTTCATCATAAAATCATATCTACCGATCTAGATCTAGACCCGCGGCCCTACAGCCCATAGATCTAGATGGTGTTTGCCTGCTCCACAGTTTCCCACTAAGCATAACAGCTGTCTTGATCGTTCCCCATCTTTGGACTACAAACTGTCAAAGGTCTATCATTCTGAGCCTAGGACAGTGTTTTGGTCGTTTTCCTTTGGGCTTTCGTTATATAGATTCTACCACTTTTATTTTCATCTAATTTACAATATTACGAGATCTAATTCTAACCCTCCTTTTCTTGTCGGACCACTATTATTATATATAATATATATGGTATTTTTATATTTCATATAAATTCTAGATCTAATCTGGATTTTTATCATTGTAGTTCTTGATTGGTTCGTAATCTCATCCTGTGTCTGTTCATGTATTTTTAGATTTCTCTAAAAATCACAGATTAAATTCAACTCGAAAGACATTATTTAAAAGACGAATAAAATTTATGATTTTTAAACCAAAAAAATATTAAAATCAAGGGAAACCACTCAATTAAACAGTAAAAATGATCTTGTGACCAGGGTTGTTTTCTAAGTCTGAAACTAAAAACAAGTGAAAATTTCTGTCTCTAGAAGAAGAAAAGTCTATGTCTAGATCTATATTCTAGTAGATCTACTTTATTTATTATATTATTGGTACAGTTATTAGATCTACTTATCATAGAGTTCATTAGTATTAATATAATATATAGATCTAGTATATTAGTATATAGGTAAGACACAACTCCGAGTTTGAACTCGTCAGTGAATTTTACATTTTTATTTAGATCTAGATCTAGATCTAGTAGATGATACTAGATGGACCTGTATTCTAGAATCTAGTAGTTAGTATTAGATCTAGTAGTAGTAGTAGGCTACTGCTGTAGGTAGACTATGTGAAAAATAATCAAGAATTTAGATCTAGTTTTTGCTGGAGTGTCGCACTTCACAATGCTCAAAATACAAATTATAGGCCTACAATTAATTCATAAAGTTTTAAAAATTATATTTGTGTTATAAAATAGGCTGTACTTTTCTATATTTTACTATATAATATAGGCCTATGTATTTATTATTTATTTATGTAGATCTGGTAATCTATCGTTTTAGGTACGTAAAATCGCCCACGACTAGTAATGTGAAAAACAGGTGACTCCTTAAATTTTAATAATTATTTCACATTTTGAGGATTTATGTTTTGAAAAATACAAAAATGTTTCCTTGATTCATTTATGTACCTGTTTTTAAACTATAGAATTAAAACTTTTCAGTAATAAATTAAGACTAGCGATGTTTCAAACAGATGCAACCCTGCTCATTTACAGTTTTACTATAGCAGCCATCTTGTTTAAGTTGTATTTTTATAATTTTATAGCGCGAGATTCAGGGGGAAGCCACTCTATTTTACAAATGGCTGCTGTTTATATAGCAAATCTTGCTCGCAGACACTGCTGTTTAAAGTTAATTTCTGGCCTATATTGATATATTTAGCCATTGATTTAGGTTTATTATCCATTTATCTATAATATTTGACACAAACATATCACAATAATATAGAGCTACTTCTATTAAAGCCTTGACAATGAGGTAACTTTTTCGTACATTAATAGCCGCTGGCGATTTTACGTACCCAAAATGATAGATTACCGTAGATCTAGATCTATGTGTTTTTGTTTTTTTTCATTTCAATAAAATGTAAAAGTAAAAAATAATATAAAAAACAAATTGGTCAAAGTTAAACAGTTAAAATTAAAACAACTAAAAATTGGCATAGTCATAGTCTTAACTAACTTTAACTGACTGAAAAAAAAGATGTGAGCTATTTTCTTTCGGACAGTTAGAACTGACAAAAGTAGACTTGCGCTGCATAAAAATTGCATGTTCGCCAATGGTAGGGGAAATATGGAATGTACTTATTTCCTCTACCAGTGAGTTCAGTTTTTCAGTGTATGAAGGGATAGTGTGGTCTGTACTATCCCTTCATAAACCATCTTTCCTTTCCCTAACAAGTAGCCATCAGAGCTGGGTGGAGTCAGGGGTGTTCTACAGACAAAAACCTTGAATTCGAACTTCAGACTTCTGATTTAGCAGTAGTATGCTCTATTATGTATATTGTTAAGTTTCATTTTCTGATTAATTTTTTCATTAACAAAATTACTTGTGTACAATATGCTTGAGTACTACAAAAGTGAATGTCCCACTGATAATTGATTTTACTAAATCTGTTTTTGCTTTTTATTGGCTTAGTTTTTAATTTGTTCAATAAAAGTTGGGTTCCATAAAAATAGCTGCACTAGTCTTATTCTAAAAATTCACCTGAATGATTTGTATACTATAATTATCCCATTTTATGCTTTCAGTCATCATATTATTATGGAAAATATTTGCTCTCAATTGGATGAAGTAGTTCTGGAAATATTTCAAGTGCTAGAAAATTATTATGAAGCGCAGGAATCACTGACACAGGTATGCCTCAGGAACAGCAAAACTTCTTTGTTGCAATATCTGCACTTTAATCAAAATACCTCTTTAAAAAAAGTACTGCAATCATCTTATATAAGGAGTGTGGAAGGGTGTGTACTTTTAGTTAACAGGATCCATAACATTGAGTGGTTACAGTGGTATCACTCGTAAAAAAAAACCTTGGCAAAAATTAAAGAAATCACTGCCTATATCAGCTGTTTTATGTCAGCTATACTTGCATGTATCTGTAACCTTGGCAACAACACCTGAGAACCTGCTCATTGAGTAAAAAAATTTTACATTTAGTCTTGTAATACTTTTTTTAGCCAAATTTTTCTGGAAATTTTAGTTGCATGAGACTGTTAGTGATCCTATTAAATAAAATATAGGGAATAATTCAAGTGTAGATTTAAAAAAAAGCCTTTGATTTAAATACATACAGTATTTATGTATACACACATACATTGATTAACATACACAAAAGTCACTTAACAACATTTTTTTGGAAACTTCAATGCAATGTTTTTCAAAACCATTACTTATCAGTAACAAATTCATATACAGTGTCATATACATATATTAGAAATCTGTTTTATCTGAAAGTTTAAAGTAATATTTACCCTGTACCCAGCCCCAGAGTATGAGAACTACTGTATGTATGGTACTGTCAAATCTGTATTATCTGATGAGGTAATGAATTTACCTTGATACCCAGTCATAAAGTGTGAGAACCACTTGAGTTTGGTGCTGGTTAATCAGTTGATGAAATCACTTAAAGATAAACATAGTCAGAATCACTCTATAATTTACCGCAATGATAAGAATAAAGTTTCATGGTTGTTGCTTGTTTGCTTTTTAAATTATTTCTTTACATCTTACTTGACAAAGTCTAAAGTTGTTTTGAACATTTTTTGTCCAGGTAATGAAGAGAGGGTTTCTTGGCCTCTCAAGGGCCAGGTGTAACATAGGTGTGAAGCGGGTCTCAAGTGATCAGTTTATCAATGCTGAGCTCACAGCTCAACATGTTGTCCAGATAGACAAGAACTTCCCAGAAGATGAAAATAAATCAGAGCTCTTGTATGAAAAAGATATAGAATCATTGTTTCATTTAACCAAACCATCTGATGGTGGTATAGATGAGATCATTAGGAGGACTGCAGCCATTGAAACCCCCACAAATGTTGAGGGTTTGAGGAAAAGAAATGTTGAAAACACAGAGAATTCTGGGGACAAAAATAAAACTCTGGTTACAGGAGAGGAAAAAGGTGCAACACAAAAAAGTAAAAGTTTTGACCCTCTAAAACTGTTTGGGGTTTTAGTGCCCCAGCCATTACGAACAAGTCAGCAAGATTTTATCCAATCAGTTCAGATCTGTGTTAACTTGGCCAACTTGAAGCATCAGCTGTTACACCTACAGTCTTTGTACAAGCAGCTGCTAGAAGAAAAGAAAAAACAGACTTCATCATCAGAAGAACTTTAGACTTGAAACAGTGAAACTGAGAGGACAAAGTCACATTGCTTCAGTCTTCCAAAAACTTTTCCCATTAATCCTAATCTAAACCAGATCCATCTTAAAATAGTTTAATGTATTCAAGATTAACTTTTTAACTGGTACATTAGATTTGATTGTATATTTAAGTTTAAGTGTACATTTTGAAGCTTCTTAATAAAAATTATTGTCTATTTCTAGTTTTATCTTTTCATACATTTGGACTAAATATTTTTTTTAATCTTTCATTATAATTTAAATATTTATTTAAATACCTTGGAGAGTGTGGTCCAGCTATAGAATGTATGCTTACCTACCCTTATGTCATGAGTTCAGTACTAAACGGGCCCTTGTGTCCAAACTATATAGTGAGATGCACAGGAAGAGGGAGCAAAATTCTTTAGGTAACCCATTGGTCTAGTGGCTGGTAACATGGACAACATTCATCTAGTGGTAACATCGACAACATTGGTTTAGTGGCTGGTAACATGGACAACATTTGTCTAGTGGTAGCATAGACAACATTGGTCTAGTGGCTGGTAACATGGACAACATTTGTCTAGTGGTAACATGGACAACATTGGTTTAGTGGTAACAGACAACATTGGTCTAGTGGCTGGTAACATGGACAACATTTGTTTAGTGGTAACATGGACAACATTGGTTTAGTGGTAACAGACAACATTGGTCTAGTGGCTGGTAACATGGACAACATTGGTCTAGTGGCTGGTAACATGGACAACATTTGTCTAGTGGTAACATGGACAACATTGGTTTAGTGGTAACAGACAACATTGGTCTAGTGGCTGGTAACATGGACAACATTGGTCTAGTGGCTGGTAACATGGACAACATTGGTATAGTGGTAACATAGACAACACTGGTATAGTGGTAACATGGACAACATTCGTCTAGTGGTAACATGGACAACATTGGTCTAGTGGTAACATGGACAAGAGGAATGTTACGATTCTTAACCCTGTTCCTGTCTGTCAGGTCAATGAACAAAACTTCAGCTGATAATGAGTTAAATACTAGATTGTCATTTAGAAACAATGTGTCCAGATTGTTATTTAGAAACAATGTGTCCAGATGTTATTTAGAAACAATGTGTCCAGATTGTTATTTAGAAACAATGTGTCCAGATTGTCATTTAGAAACAATGTGTCCAGATTGTTATTTAGAAACAATGTGTCCAGATTGTCATTTAGAAACAATGTGTCCAGATTGTCATTTAGAAACAGTGTGTCCAGATTGTCATTTAGAAACAATGTGTCCAGATTGTCATTTAGAAACAGTGTGCCCAGATTGTCATTTAGAAACAATGTGTCCAGATTGTCATTTAGAAACAGTGTGTCCAGATTGTCATTTAGAAACAGTGTGTCCAGATTGTCATTTAGAAACAATGTGTCCAGATTGTCATTTAGAAACAATGTGTCCAGATTTTCATTTAGAAACAGTGTGTCCAGATTGTTATTTAGAAACAATGTGTCCAGATTTTCATTTAGAAACAGTGTGTCCAGATTGTTATTTAGAAACAATGTGTCCAGATTGTCATTTAGAAACAATGTGTCCAGATTGTTAATGTTATTTAGAAACAATGTGCCCTTCTTTTAACTTAAAACTGCCATTGAATTACCTTACCAGATTCTGGACACTGAGAAATATTTGACAGCATCTTTTGCAAGTAATTTATTCATAATGTTTATCTGCTAGACTGGATATCTTGGTTAATTAGATTTTTTTTTCTTTTAGTTGTCTGCAGCATATAGGTGGTGAAAATTTCAAGTGATATCAGTTATCTAGGATTTTTGGACATTGCTAAATTTAGCTTTCATTTTGTTGCAAGTTAAGTTTTTATATAATGAACTTTAAGGTAATACAAGTATTTTAAAGTATTTTTTCTATCCTACTTGGGATTTTATTAGTGTTCACTTTTTTCTTGGAATTTTAAGCCAAGTACATCTTTTAAATATTTATATTGGATAATATTTCAATTTTTTTTATATGTTTAGCTAAGTTTATCTTTTAAATCCATTTATATAATAAAATTTTTAAATTTTCTCATGTTTACCTAGTTCATTTAAAATCTTTAGCATAGCTAGAGAAGTATGTAAACAGTATAGTAAAATATCAGAGCAGATAGTCCATGGGACAGGTGAGGTTGATTTCATTAGTTTCTCTGACCACGGCATATCAAAGGATAGTGTGGCCAGCACTATGACCAGCTCTTTACATTTCAAACTTGAGTCAGGTACCCATCAGAGCTGTGTGGACTCAGGGGGTGGTACTGTGAAAAACTAGGTTAGCAGTCATATGCTCTAGCACTCTATCACACCATACTGTGAAGTGGCAACAGAATAACCAAATTGGGTTCTAATCCCTCCACCATACGGCTCCTACATTTCTTTGAATCTTAAAGAAATTTCATTGTGAAAATACGCTATGAATTATTAACAATTATTGATGGTCATGTTCATTTTAAATAGCAATAACTTGGATTATCTGCATTCTAATTTTCCAACAATGTGTTCTTTTGGAATGGTTTTTATTTAAGGATTTTCAACTCTTTCTTATGTTGATCTAACCTGCAGTTTTTCAATCATGATGGGATTCACATGGGATTTCAAAATGTCTCATGGTTGGTGTTGTGTTCTGTTCATTGTTTTCTATGTATTTGCTTTGTTTACTCTAATCACTGAATAAAAGGTCTTTTTACAAGTTTTTATTTAGTTCGCAACATCTGTTTGTGGCAAATCTTGTAACTCAATTTTGACCCACTTCTAATGCAGCAATTTCGTTCAAACTTTCCAGATACGTTCCACTTCGTTGACAATACAAGTCTATCTATTTTTTTTATTTAATTAGATGTTTAATTAGTCATTAAAACAATTAACTTGTTTCAAAACTAATGGAGATAACAAAATTAAATTACTCGTTAGATTACTGTATACAATAACAAAAGGGGAGACAACTAGCTAGACGCAATCCCCCTATCAGTCTGGTTAGCTGTGGTTTATGAGAATGTTTAAAGGCTATTAGGGGGAGGTAATAAACTTTTTGAAACGAAACAAAGGGGAGTTAGCAGGAATAAGAACTATTCCTTCACTATATCAGCTTGCTGTAGTCTGTACATTGTGGTCACAGATGGCTGCATTCATGGGGCAGATAAGCATCTTTCGGTTATCAATAGCTACTGATGGCATTTCGAAGCAAATATTTTAGTCGTGTCAACTTCAAAAATTAGGAATCACTAAAAGGTAGAAAATAAAACAAATATTAAAAACCTTTATGGCAGCAAGCTTTTAAATGCACTGAAAAACAAGAAAATAAAACTAATTTTCTTTCTTTAAAACCAAAAGCTTTGGTCACTCATGAGATAATTTACATATTTTAGCTTCAAAAAGCTTTTTTTATTAAAGAACGCAAATGAGTTTTATTTCTTATTTTCAGTGCATTGCTTGTTGCTATAAAGTTTTTTTATATTTGTGTTATGGTTACTTGTGTCACATAAAGCAGTGCTGTTAGATAGATTGATATATCATGTGCAATACTGTTAATTAGGCCTGTGCTTGCAGTGATGTTTGAAAGCCTATATACATTCAGTGCTGCTGTTGAATGAATATTAATCAATACACGATAGTGATGCTAACCATTTCTTAATAGTGATGTTAAATATTTGAACATGTGCAGTAATGTTAAAAAAATAATGCAGCGTAATTAAAAATGCAGCCAATTTCTGCAAGTTTTATTGTAAATTTGAACGGTTTGTTTTCCGTCATACAGTCAGCTAAAATTAATAAAATTTTAGAAGCTTCTTGTGTATAACTATAGAGGCCCTATCTATGATATATAGGCCCTATCTATTAATGTAGTTAAATGTAGGCCTTATGTGTATGATATCAATGTAGTTGAATGTAGGCCCAATTCCCGGGTTTTAAGATTTGTTTTTGATGAAACTGGTTAAATTATTTCATCATTTAAAATAGCTGCGTTTAATATTTTATGAATTTAATCTCTATTTTTAGACACCCCACATGATGAGCTAGTAGTATGTTATTGTAAGACAACATGTTATCAAGCGTTTGCGTTTTTTTTTTATTCACACCATTTCATTCACCAGCACAAGACGCGTTGCTGTGAGAAGTTTTGTGTTGTTGTTTACCTCCCCTTCCACAGGTGGCGCTATTTTCTGAGGCATCATTACACAAATAGCATTAGCGCAGATGGGAAGCAACTCCTCGCACTTTCACCACCGTTGGCCGCTGCCTTTACATTAAAAGCTCATTAAATTGGCGACCGTTACGGTTGTGTTGCACGCTCGGCGTTTGAAGTAAATTGTTCTAAGAGGACGATCAATTGGCGGGTACAGCGCGGGAAATAAAACGAAAGTGTGAAAAATGGAAATAAATTTTGGAGTTTTTTTAGATGGGGCTTGAAGCAAACTCGCTTTTATGAATTACTTATTTTTAAAATGTTGAATCGTCAAATTTGTGGTGCAAAAACCGTTTTCTATGTGTTGCACTTTTGCTTTTTTTTTGTCTTTTAAAAATAGCGTTCGTGCGAAAAGCCGTAAAACCACTAAAATATAGCACATTAAACGTTTGAAGTGATAAAATGTTGTGAAATAGCGTATTTTTGTCATACGTAATTGATGGAAATGTTTTTTTTTTTACTTTTATGTGAAAGATTATCAGGTTAGTTCCGACTTTAGAACCAGCGACAAGTGGCTTAATTTACCTATGGTAGGCTAGGGTTAGGGGTCATCCATAAATGACGTCACGCTTTTTTTGACGATTTTTACCTCCTCCCCCCCCCCATCCCCTCCGTCACACATCATCACAAAAAGCCAGACCCCCCCCCCTAAAATGACGTCACACCTCAACCTACAACCCCCCTCAAAATTGCAGTTGAATTTGTTTTGAAACATCGATATTTTTCCAAAATCTTGTCTAAACTATTACAATTTATTAAAACAGTTATCTAAAACGCGAAATAATGTCTAAAATTCGTTTTCTAACATTGCTTTTTTATAATGCAAAAGTGTGACGTCGCAACATCTGACCCCCCCCCCCTCCCCTCATCACACATCGTCACAAAATTACGGCCCCACCCTCCCCCCTACGAGTGTGACGTCATTTATGGTTGACCCCTTACCCATTGTAGGCCTGGGTTACCTATTGTATTACGGCATTTCAAAGAATTGATAGTTCGTGTCCGTCATTAAAGTTTAAATCTATTCTTTCCCGTTCTTATTAAAACAAATATTTTTCTTTGAATTAGTGGTTCCCCCCCCCCCCCCCATTCCTCATCATCATCAGAATAAGCCCCCCCCCCCCCCCTCAGTTACAAGCTGTCCAAAGTTTGGTTTTTGTCCACTCGAGATCAGTTTACACACGTGTCAAGTAGCGTGAGGCAACTTCTGAAGAGCT